TTTGGATTCCACATGAAATAAACAGTATTCTAGGAAGCAAACAGTCCAGGAGCCCAAATGATAACAGGCTAGGAATGAAAACGAGGAGGTGCATGTGGATAAATCTGCTATCTCTTCTCATTACAAAGAGTCAACAATCTGGGTGCTGTCGTCAAAGCAAGGGGAACCCAAAGGGTGAACCAACTCAGCTGTTACCTCCTCACTTCAGGAAAATAATTTTGAAAAAATCTCAGGAACTTATATATTCTTTTATTGGCAAGAAAGGAATCAAGAAAAACTTGTAGGAGCTGGGCACTGGTGGCTCACACCTGTAATCCTAGCTACTCAGGGAGCAGAGATCAGGAGGATAGCAGTTTGAAGCCAGCCTAGGCAAATAGTACCTCAAGACCCTATCTCAAAAAACCCTTCACAAAAATAGGGATGGTGGAGTGGCTCAAGGTGAAGGCCCCAAGTTAAAGACCCAGTACTGAAAGAAAAAAAAAAAACCCCACAAAAAAAGGACTGGTTGGAGTGGCTCACGTGGGAGAACATCTGCCTAGCAAGCATGAGACCCTGAGTTCAAACCCCACTACCAAAACCAAACCAAAAAAAAAGAAAAACTGGCAGGGCATTTCTATAGCTACTAAAAATTACTATAGACCCATCAGAAAATGTTTAATCCCTTCTAACTGTTTTTTTTGGTAGCGGTGATGGTACTGGAGTTTGAACTTAAGGCCTCATGCTTGCTAGACAAGGCTCTCTACCACTTGAGTCACTCTCTGTTCTAGATGGGAATTCAATCCTTCATGCAGCCAAGAAAGCTATAGTTCAGTAAGTAAATGCAATATCTTGTTCATAAAGATTTTCAGTCAAGTACAATTAAACTAGGGTGCATCTGAGGGAACAAGTTTCCTTGGGGAACAGTGTAAGTACAATTACTCCAAAATCAGTTACATAGCTGCTAAGAGGATGGTCCCTTCCCCAATGCTGGCAAGTTGTCCTTATTGGAGCTGGAGCTCAGAGTGCTCCACCAGGTAGCAGGAGCACATTGTGTGACTGCTGGGATCACTGTGAGACTGCTGATGGGAACACCATGGTAAGGCCTCAGAGTGGTAAAGGAATGGAGTGGCTGGGCCACATTTTACACCCAACCTAACACTGCAAAGTGTGAGGTACCACACAGAAGTGTCAGCTCTTTCTTCTCATCACAGTGACTGGACTGTGAAACGCCCACTTCTCCTTGTCACCACCCTTTCCCTTTACCCAGCACAGCATAAGAAGGCCCCAGGCTTGCGATGCAACAAGAGAACTAACACAGAAGCACAGAGCTGTGGGTGAGGTGACACATGTGGCTGAACCCCAGGCTCAGAGTCCCTTTCTGCTTTCTTCACTAAGGCATCTGACTCCTTTCCTGGTACAACTCCCTGGCCACTAGGCCAACTGGTCTCCGGAGCTCTGGTCCTTGCGATGTTTGTGAGGGCTACCAGTGATACCGTGAAGCCAGCCCTCCAGTTCAGGCCCTTCCTGTCCTATGTGACCCTGGCAAAGTAGCACAATGCTAACCTCCCACCTACACTTGCCTGGTCCCAAGGTGATGGATGGCACTGGGTGTGATGGAGTCAGTGCATCATCCTGGGAGTGCTCGGCACCTCCCCCCCCCAACCTCCCCGCCAATCTCCTGCAGCTCTGCCTCCTTCCCTGCAGCCTCCCAGGTTAGAGGGTAGGCTGGTTCCCACACAGCTTCGGCTTTCAGCTCCTGCTGGAAGCTGTCGCCCCTGAGCCTGTTCTACAAGTAAAGTACTTTGCCAACAATTTTTACTCTGTCCGCTCCTCAGGTGTTCAACCTGTTCACCTGTCTGCCTGGATTTCTTGGAGACAGGAAAGTGAGTGGGGGTTTCCTTGGTTCCATCTGCTCGAGACTGCATTTGGATTTAAATTAGGTAATAAATCCTAACTGCCTGTAGTGTAGACATACAGCACAGGCTCAGCACACAGCGGCTGTTACTGTATTATTAGTAGTACACACAAGCACACTTTAGATGTGTAAGAGGGACTTTCTTGGTGAGTAGGATAACCCATTAGCCTTGCAAAGGATTAATCCATCAAGGCCTACCAACAGCCCATGGGGAGTGTTTCTAACGCCCATGGGTGACAATTGGTGCTACTCCAGTCCTCGATGTTGACATTAACACTGGGTAAAGGGCACTGTGAACCTCTAAAGCTGCACATGGATGTTGCTCTGAGTATGTGGGAGAATGAGCACCATTTGCCATGGCTTAATCTGATGCAGCTTTAAGATGCTACATATTTCTGGGGTTTAGTGTGGAAAATGTCAGCTGAGAGACTCTGTGTCACCAACACCATGTGGCAATAGGTCTGAGGTCCCTGGCTACTGTCTGCAGTGCTGTCATTTGCAGCTGGTGGTCCTTCCTCCCAGTTCCTACAGCATTAGAGCAGGAGGGGCAGCGGACTGGCTTGAACCATGAGTGCTATTTCTGTGCACAGGATGTGAGTAAGTACACGCCGCAGCAGGACATGGTAAGTCAGACCAGGATGTGAGTCAGATGGGATTACGAAGTGTTAAAAGGAACCAATCTTCAGAGCATCATGTTGGACCTCACCACCATTGTGAGGAGTTCATTTGAAAGATGCTGGTAATGATTAAGTGGAGGAGAAGTGTGAGAGTACAGAGGACTAGCTTTGGCCACAGGCCGATCAGTGAAAAGAAATAAATGAGGATGAGGCCACAACCTACAGACCCTAAAACTTTGTGCTTAAAAAATATATTTATCAGGGTCTCATCTTTCTCCAGCATACTCCAGTCAGACATGTAAAAGCAGGAAAGCAGGTGCAGCTCAGAATGGTTATGGCTTATGAGCTTGGTGTATTTTTCTTTCAAAATGAAACACTTCATCTGTAATCTTTCATGAGCCAAATGGATGGTACCAAACTGGCTTAAAAAAAAAAAAAAAGCCAAGGGCTGGAAGTATGGCTCAAGTAGTAGAGAGCTTGAGGCTCTGAGTTCAATACCCAGTACCATAAAGAAAAAAAAAAATGCTGAGTTGGTGCTACATATCTATAATCCAGGTTGAGGCAGGAAGACCTCTAGTTTGTGACCAGTCTGGGTTACACAGTGAGACCCTGTTTCAAAAACCAAAAGCCTAACCAAAAAAACCCTATTAGTACTGAGTTGTAAAAATACACCAAAAAAGATAAACACCTATGACACTTTTTGAAAGAGTAAAAATTGTTAACACTGTGACATCCATAAATTTAATAAACTATGCATGTCTGTTTCACGGAGCCCAAACAGCTGTTAAAAGGAACAACATAATTTGAATATTTAAGTTCAAGTTCTGATCCAGCACAGAAGGACGTCATGTCTGTGGCAGACGTGATGGCGAAGCATGGAGTTGTTGGAAATGAGTGCTGATCACATTTCTGTGAGGAATAATAGGCTGGAAATGCATAGGAAAGTCTCTAAGGACTCAGACAAGCCTGCTAATCTGTGATGGTGAACTTCTTTACACTCTTATTCATTGTTTGAATTCTTTGCAACAAACATCTATTACTTTTGAAACTGAGAAGAAAACCAACAAAGATCTTCATAAGAGCAGTCTGAATCTCGTTGTTCTCTAATCGCAAGGTTCTGGGAGGCTACAGGTGGCTGGTGGAACTCTGAGCATCCCTGACCGAATCAGTGATGGCATGGCAGGGTGAGCCCTTGGAAGGACTCAGGTAGGCCGGCCTGAGCTCTCTGCGGCTTCACAGAGGCACAGAGCTGGCATTTCTGTAGTGCCATGAGAGAGATGCTTTCTGGTCTCAGAAACCCTTTCACTACCCATTGAGCACCTTGTGTGGCCTGGGTAATATGCTCTGATTCTTGAGCTGGCCACTTGTGGCTGTGATCCCAGATGGACCACTGCTCAACCCTGGCTGGACAGTTCCTCTCAACATGGTTTTGGCTGGCTTGCTGTTCAAGGAACTGAAGAATTATTAGTGGGAGTGACAGCCTGCAAACCTTGCCTTCCAGGCCAGAGCAAGGGGAGCAGCTGGACCTGCCTTGGTGACACAGGAATGCATCCCAATACCCTCCCAGCTAGGCATTTCCTCTCTGTAAGTCAATTGTGTCCTTTGGTCTGCTCCATGGTCCTTTTCTCCAGGAGCAAGGGGAGGGAGGCAGCAGCCCATCTGTGGAAACCACAATGCCCAAGCCTGGAAGCAATTGCTGCCTCCACCTTGTCTGCCCACATCACTGTTCAAGCATCTATTCCTTCATCTTCCTAGATCTCCTCTGAATACCATCCAGGCCTTTTCACCACCCACGGCTTCCCTTGGGGAACCCCTACTCATCCTTCAGAGCCTGGTTCCAATGTCATTGTTTCAGGGAGCCTCCCCCAACATTCTGAGGCCAGGAGAGGTCTCCTTACACCTGAACACATAGCTGCAGTTCCTGGTGCTTCGCCCAGCTCTCAGCTTCCATCTAGGTCTATGACAACTTGGTGGATGTCTGTCTCCCTCACTCAGACATGAGTTTCTCGAGAGTAGAGGCCACACCTGCTCTTGCTGAGTCCCCATGAACAGCACGGCATCTGCTACTAGGTAGAGAAATGCCCAGGAAAAGCCTGCTGGGGGAAGGATGCTTGCAAGGGATGCTGGGACAGAATTCATGCAAGTAGGAGTGATGGTATGCATCCACGTGGTAGATAGTTACCAGGGGATATGTCCCCTTAAGTCCTGGAAACTTATCTGAACTGAGTACCAGTAGTAGATGACAGCTTAAGGTAGTTAAGGAATTGTAGAAAGAGTCCAGAAAAATTCTCTGTAGAAATGGAAGAATCTGTGCTACAATGACCCCCTGGTGGGCCCCTTCAGCTGCCCAAATGGGGTGTTCTTGGCAGTGGCTGTCCTAGAGGATGGAAAGATGGAAAGAACATGACTGGGGCAGAGATGCTCTGCTCACGTCAGAGAGGGCTTCGGAGAGGCCTTGGGGGTAGGGGTGGGGAGGGAGGGGCACCGACCTCGGCTGATGCGCTGTTTCTCCCCAGACAGGATGCCGGGGCTGTCGATGATGCTGATGCTCTTCAGGACCTGGTTGGGCAGCTGGGAGCACATGAACCTGGAAGAGATGGACCAAAGGTGAGGTCAGAAACTGGGCTCTGCAGAGGCTTCTAACTATGGGGCACCTGATCTCTCTGACGCCTGTACAGTGGAGGTATGGAGAGCCACTGGCGCCTGTAACGTTGCCTGTAGAGCAGAGGCTTGGAGGAGATGGACAGCAACTCCATTGGTGCTATAGAATAGATGCCCGTCCATGGACAGGCATGGGACGAGGGCTGTCACGTATTGCTACCTGCCACCTGACCCCTTACTGTTACTTTGGATTTTAGCTAGTATTAATGGAACACTTGGGTATTGTACAAACATAAGTTCAGGTTAGCCTGACTCCGGAGCTAGGAGCCTCCCCTGACCTCCCTGCTGCTCCTTGCCCAAGCAGCCTGAGTTTCTGCTGCAGGGAGTCCCATGCTCCTTTATGGTACAGCACCACACAGGGCCGGAGTCCCCTGAGCCCCTGTCCTGTCCTTTCCACTCCCTGGCACAAGAACTGGGGTCCTGGGCCTGATGTTCGAGGACTCCTCATCTAGCTGGGTTCAGGTTCCACTCAGCCTTTGCCAGTGGTGCTGTGTGCACCTTGTTTCCTCGTGTGTAAATGGAGATATCTAGACATCAGACTGGACTTTCAGAGCGTTCCCACTGTGAACTATAAGCAACGGCAGGAAGCACTGTTACTTCCAGCCAGGCTCTCTGCCTGTGTGTGTTTTAAGGAGGAAACAGAGTGGCTCTCCTCTTCCTGTTTTATAAGTGCTACCCTCTGTATCTGTGTAGGCAGAAGGCTCAACAACCTCAGGAACAGTCAATCCTTCCATTCAGTGGAAGTGGGGGGATTACTCAGACAGGAAGTATGCTGGGAACTTGGTTCAGGGGGGCCTCCCAGCCTCCACCATGTCTCTGTGGGCAGGGGAGGTGCCATTACTGACATCTCAAGCTAAACTGTCCTTGAAGGGGCTCAGGATAAGCTTTTCCCACACTCTTTCCTGTATTCTCAAGTCAGCTCAGAAGATGGAGGAAAAGATAACACAGTCCTTTGGCAGGAGGAAAAGCTGCAGCACAGAGCAGTGATGGCATCTCAAGGTCATGAGATAATGCACGGTTGGCTGGAGACTACCACCTAACATATCTGACGTCGGGTGGGCAGAACTCAACCCATAAGATTAAAATCCACAGAATGTTAAAAAGAAAGGTTCAGGCCGGGCCCAGTGGCTCATGCCTGTAATTCCGGGTGCTTGAGAGTTGGGGATCAGGAGGATCATGGTTCAAGACAAGGCTGTGCAAAAAGTTATCGAGATCCCCACTGCCACAAAAGCCAGGAGTGGTGGTGTGTGCCTGCGGTCGCTACGTGGGAGGTGTAAGCAGGAGGATCACTGGAGTCCAGATCAGGCAAAAAGGTAGCAAGACCCCATCTCAACCAATAAGGTGGACATGGTGGTATGTGCCTGTCATCCCAGTTGCAAGGAAAATGTAAATACGTCGATCTCAGTCCAGGCTGGCTCAAGCAAAAATGAGAGACACTATCTGAAAAATCACAAAAGCAAAAGGGCTGGGAGCATGGCTCAAGTGGTAGAGCACCTGCCTACTGAGTACAAGGCCCTGAGTTCAAACCCCAGTACTGTAAGGGAGAAAAAAGTCAAGTGAATTTAAGAGAAGTCCCTGATTTCTGCTTTTCTCCTGCACCTAACCCTACTGCCCAATAGCAGGAGACTAGACTTATGAGCAGGGCACACACGTGTCACCAAGCACTGTTCACAAGTTCCCAGAGAGGAAAACCCCGTTACCCAGTTCTCTAGAACTGGAGAGGAGCAGAGTTCTCAGCACATCTGGGGTGGACTCCGCTTCTTTCAGCCTATCCTTTCTGATGGCCCACGACATCTGGCGATGTTGAGCACGTTACACCTACATGGAACTATTTCACGTAAACCAACGCCATGGCGGGGCTGACCTTCCTCTGAAACCGCAAGCTCACACTCGGTATCAATTTTTCCAAAACACAAAATCTCTAGATGCTAGTGTGAGGCTAGCAGAGGGATTCCAAGCTTACACACCATTCACTGCTGGCACATAAAGCAAGAGATTTCAACAGCCACAGGCCTCCTGATGCAACAGCAGAGGCCAAATGTGTGAGCATGAGCTGATGTCACCCCACAACGCACAGGACGGCTGCCAAAAAGGAGGAGAGCGAGTGCTCCAGGGGGCACCTGAGAGCAGCTGCTGGGGTTGTGTATGTGCAGGCCTGGATCCCACGCCACGAAAGAAAACACACAGGGTGGGGGACAGAGAGCGTGAGTGGGTGCTCGGTCCCCGGGGAGCCACAGCACATATGCAAGGTTAGAAGTGCACACACAGATGTGTTGCTCAAACTTGTCCCATGCAATCTGAAAACCCCTGGTGCTGTGTCAGCATCACGTCCTTTCTCTCTGCTGAGGAAAGGAAGGCAAGGTTACTAGTTGTGTGCACGGTTGGCATGGGTCAGGTCGTCCTACGTGTACGTTTCTGCTGAAATGTTTCCAAGCAGAGATCTGCTGTTCCGAGATGGATTTCCCGCTCTGTCCTGGAGTGACTAACACTAAGAGCATCTGTGCCTGGCCTTCTCATGTCACACGAAGTATGCAGACGTGCTGGGGAGGCCTGGGAAAACTCTTAGCTTCCACGGTGTCTCCCACCCAGACCTGACCTGATGGATTTCATTTTCTGAAGTGAAGAGGGAGCAACCAAGACCCTTCACTAGACCCCACCTCTCTGTCACCTCCACGTCTACTGAAGTCAAGGGTAGCAGAAGGGGGAGAGGGGTAAAGTGATGGCATGGGCTGTAGGGCTCAGGCAGGTTGCTAGGAGCCCTGCTGTGCAGTACTGTGAGTTCAGAGGGTTGCCTTACTTAAAATTGCCTCTAAAAGCTAAAATTCCACGTGAACAACTGCCATTTAATGGTTGTAGTAATAACAAAACACAACGAGCATTCACCAACTGCTCACCATGTGTCAGGCCCACTCTAATCACTTTCTGTGCCCATGAAATCAGTGCTACTGTGTCCTGAAAGGCCTACTGGCTGTGCACTGCCATCTTACAGAGGAGGAGACGGGGCCCTGGAGGGGCCCACTGGAACCACTGTCACGTCCCTGTACAAAAGACTGCTGTGCCACAGCCCCGGCGTGCTCCTCAAGGGGCTTCCTGTGCGGCTTGCTCTAGTGGGGTGGAGGGTCGGGGCAGTGAACAGGAGGCAGGAAGCAGGAGACCTGAGCGATTTCCTTCATATGATCTGTAAGCCACTCAGTTCAAGTAAACCTAAACTTACAATGGGGAGGGTATAGACCATTTCAAAGCACCTCCTTTAACCCTCTTACACTGCTGGTGGGAATGCAAACTAGTACAACCACGCTGGAAAAAAATTTGGAGGCTACTGAAAAAGCTAAACATTGATCTACCATAGGATCCAGCAATACCACTCTTGGGGATATACCCAAAAGACTGTGACACAGGTTACTCCAGAGGCACCTGCACACCCATGTTTATTGCGGCACTATTCACAATAGCCAAGTTATGGAAACAGCCAAGATGCCCCAGCACTGACGAATGGATCAAGAAAATGTGGTGTTTATACACAATGGAATTTTATGCAGCCATGAAGAAGAACGAAATGTTATCATTCACTGGTAAATGGATGGGATTGGAGAACATCATTCTGAGTGAGGTTAGCCTGGCCCAAAAGACCAAAAGTCGAATGTTCTCCCTCATATGTGGACATTAGATCAAGGGCAAACACAAGGGGATTGGACTTTGATCACATGATAAAGCGAGTGCACACAAGGGAGGGGTGAGGATAGGTAAGACACCTGAAAAACTAGATAGCATTTGTTGCCCTCAATGCAGAGAAACTAAAGCAGATACTTTAAAGCAACTGAGGCCAATAGGAGAAGGGGACCAGGAACTAGAGAAAAGGTTAGTTCAAGAAGAATTAACCTAGAAGGTAACACACATGCACAGGAAATCAATGCGAGTCAACTCCCTGTATAGCTATCCTTATCTCAACTAGCAAAAACCCTTGTTCCTTCCTATTATTGCTTATACTCTCTCTTCAACAAAATTAGAGATAAGGGCAAAATAGTTTCTGCCAGGTAGCAAGGGGGTGGGGGGGAGAGGGAGGGGGCGGGGGTAAGGGACGGGGTGGGGGAAGAGGGGAGAAATGACCCAAACATTGTATGCACATATGAATAATAAAAAAAAAGCACCTCCTTTGACCTCACCCACTTTATAATGAGCATAAACCAGAGAGCTACATGACATCCTAAATAGGGAAGTAAATAAGACACGATCTACGAGAAGACTTGGACAACTACACTGTTAATGACTTTGACACGATCCTGCCACAAATGGCAAATTGAACTTTCCAATGTCCAGGAAGCAGTGAGGTTTTCTGGAATGCCAGGACCAGAAACGTCCAGGCAGCCGTGAATCAGGAACAATGGTTTTATGACCTGGGAGCCACCTCAAGTCCTGGGGTGAAAGATTAATGAGAAAAGTTTTAGCAAGTTTATTATGTATAAGTGCACACCCCACCTCCACAAAAGTCCAATTATTGCCTCAGATTTAAATGAAACAATTCTGCTGGCGAATCAAGAAAGGTTCTGGGCCAAAGCCTGTTTTCTATCATTTCCGCAGTTAAATTAGCTGGGGAGGGAGTACAGCATGAGTCTATACTGATGCTATGCACTTACAGCAAGTCATTAAAGAAAATTCCTAGTTGGGCATGGTGGCTCACACTTGTAATCCCAGCTTCTCAGAAGGTGGAGATAGGGAGGGTCACAGTTCAAGGCAAAAAGTTCACAAGACCCCCATCTTAACCAATTAAAAAAATAGCTGGGTGTGGTGGCATATACCTATCATCCCAGCTATTCGGGAAGTATAGGGGAGGGTTTCGGTTCAGCCTCAGACTATGATCCTCCTACCTACGCCTCCCATGCAGCTGGGATTATAGATGTGAGCCACTGCACTCAGCCTACAATTGGTTTTTTTTCCTAGGTCATAAATTTTGACATAGTTCCCAGAAAAGTATGCCATGTAAAAATAGGTTCCCACCTCTGGAGTTGACTCTGCTGGTGCTCCCAGAAGGCTTCTATGATCACGTGAGCACTCTAAACTAAATGACTTTTTTTTTTTTTTTGCAGTACTGGGGCTTGAACTCAGGGTCTACACCTTAAGCCACTCCACCAGCCCTTTTTAGTGAAGGGTTTTTTCAAGATAGGGTCTAACTATTTGCCCAGGCTGGCTTCCAACCAATATCCTCCTGATCTATGCCTCCTGAGTAGCTGGATTACAGGTGTGAGCCACTGGCTCCCAGCTACTAAACGACTCTCTTAAGCACTGTGTGCAGCAGCTGCCCTGTCATGTGGACACCACATGACACTAGGAATTTCCCTGAGACACATCCCTCATATGTGAGCCTTACACAAGCACATGGCTGCCAGGGTGGCTAGAAGGACAGACACAACACTCTGACTTGCTAAGCAGGGCCCAGGGTGGTAGGCAGGAGGGAAGGGAAAAGCAGGACTCTAGTCCTGTGTGTCTGCGTTTTCCTGCTGGCTTCTTCTTCAGCAAGTAAATTCTTTGTGTCTGGCGTTCTTGCCTGTAAGTTAGCCATGGTGTTGTCTGTTTTTTTTTTTTTGGTGGTACTGGGGTTTTGAATTCAGGGCCTCATGCTTGCTAGACAGGTGCTCTACCACTTGGCCATTCCACCAGCCCCATGGTGTTGTCTATTAATCCCACAAGCAGAGTGCGGATAGAGTAGGTGGACTACACCTTGAGGCACAATCAGTATCCTCTCCATCACCTTTGTTGGAGGGCTATCCTAGGGATAGCTTTAAGGTTAAATGGGGGCCGTAAGCAAGGACTTAGTCCAAGTGCCATGTCATTCAGCAACTCATCACTGGGATCCCTACCAGGACTCTGAGGCCAGGTGGCCTCGGTTCTGATCCCAGCACAGCTACTGAAGCTGAATGACCCAGAGGAAGATATAGTAACCTGTGCATCACGTCCTCCTCTCTATTTTGGGAATATTTGTAGCAGCCATGTCACTGGAGTTTTATGAGGATTTAAAGGCTTTACTTTCTGTGTTTAATATACAAGTAAAGTTTGGAACAGTACCTGACATAGGATACATTCCATAGCAATATTTGCTATTATTTTTCTAAGTATTATTGTGAATTAAAAATACTTAATTATAAAATGCATAGCGTATTTTCAGCAAATTTTAAATTCTGAGATTATGAAATTTGCCATTGAAAACCTCTCCTGAATTTTTCTCTTTGTACTCATCTGCTGCGAGTTTGAGATCTGAAAAACAAATTGTTTCTATTAGTCAAACAAAGCCAATATCCATTTTCCTGCTTTTCCTCTGTGAATAGAGACTTTATTAAATGAGAATCTGAAAAAAGTGGCAGCTCTTTCCTTTTTTAAGCGTTTATTAGGCAAAAAGAGCACAAGACAAAGGGCAGTGATGATGAAATCCTAAGATTCTAGAACCTTCCAGGGGCATGGATCCTGGGCCTTTGGCTGTCTGGAGCATCTAGAACCTGGTAGGACCAGGGCTTGGAAGTCTGGTGATTGCCTGCCCTTTGTTCAGGCTCCCAGGGAGGCTGTGAGGGGAGCTTCTGTCCCCTTTCCCTCAGCTTTGGTCCATTCTGTCCTGAGACACTCAGAAATTGACCTCTGGGTTCTCCACTATGGGCTCAATCTCTGCTTCTCCCACAAGGAAAAATTGCCTACCATGGCAGCTCTGGAGTTAGGAGCAATATTCTCCTGGAGAACAGAATCGTGCAGGGGAAGCCATCTGGACAGTGTATGGCCAGTCACTGTTGGCGACAAGATGGAACCTCCCCGTGCCTCCATCTATGTCATCCGCATACTCCTGCTACCCCACTGCCAGGTTCCCTTGCTGTCTCTTGGATGCTCTCTGATTTGCAAGAGGAGCCTAAGGAAGCCCTTAAAGGAGAGCCTGGGTCCCCAGGAAGTGCGGCTGTTCCCAGGAGGCGCCTGGGAGGCTGCTGGGGCTGCTGGTGCCACATGAGCGGTGCCCCTGGAGTTGCGCAATGAGGAATCTGCCTCTGGCCTGGCGGCAGGAGAACCATTCTTATTTTAGAATGGCTAAACATCTAGAAAGCAGAAGTGCAGCTTGAGTCTCCTGTGCACCTCAGCTCCAACTCTACTTCCTTTCCTTGAAAGGACTCCAGTTCTGCACCCCCTCCAGCTGCTCCCCAGTCTGGAAAGCTAGATTCACAATGGAGGGAAGTGGAGAGTGGGTGGGAGGGACAGGAGGAAAGGTTTTAGAGGGGAAAAGATGGACATGTTAACAGTGCTAATTCTTTCAACCCATGAACACCACTTTCTGGATAAGACTCCAAAAGCGTAACAAAAGCAAAAATTGACGAATGGAATTAGGTCACACGAAAAAGTTTCTACACAGCAAAGAGAACAATCAATAGAGTAAAAAGATAGCCCACAGAAAAGGAGAAAATATTTGCTAACTATTCATCTGACTGGGGGTTAATGTCCAACATACATAAAGAACTTAAAACAAACAAACCCACAAGCCAGTAATCCCATAGAAAACAGGCAAATGATATGAATGACCACCTCTCAAAAGGAGAAATACAAACGGCCAATAAATACATGAAAAAATACTCAGTATCAAGGACATGAAAATCAAAATTAAAATGAGATTCCACCCATCCCTGTTAGAATAGTCACTATTTTTTCTTAAATGCTGGTGAGGATGTGGAGGAAAACTTTTATGTTGTTGGTGGGAATGTAGATTAGTACAGCCACTGTGGAAAAGTATGGGAGTTCCTCACAAAAAAGAGCTACTGTATGATCCAGGTTTCCCACTCCTGGGTAATCCAAAGGAAATGAAAGCAGCATGAAAAAGAGACACCATATGCCCATGTTTACCACCCTACTATTCGTGACAATAAGCACAGGGAATCGGCCCAGGTGCCCATCAACAGATAAAGTGATAAAGAAAATAAGGTATATGTACACAGTGGAGTATTAGTCAGCCATAAAGAGTGAAATCCTGTCAATTGCAGCAAAATGGAACTGGAGGACATTATGTTAAGTGAAATAAGCCAGACACAGAAAGACAAATATTACATGTTCTCTCTCATATGTAGAAACTTAACAACCAAAGAAACTTAAAAAAAAAAAAAAACAGGTGGGGGAAAGGAAAAAAGGAAGGAAGGAAGGAAGGAAGAGATGGAAGGAGGGAGGGAGGGAGGGAGGAAGGGAGGGAGGGAGGGAGGAAGGGAAGAAGGAAGGAAGGAAGGAAGGAAGGTAGACAGGAAGACAGGCCAGGAGTAGCACAGAGGAGGACAGAGGTCAGAATGGCAGACCCACTCAGTCTTAAGGGCCTATCTGCTTCAGAACAGGCCAGCTGTTCTCCTTCCTCCATCAGCCCCCACCCTGTTTACTGGGAGCTGTGCTGAAGGGTGATGGGTGCCACAAATGAAGCACACCTCCGGTCAGACAGAACCAATCCCACACCTGCATCTATACACTAAGGACCTCGTGACGTGGCTCATGTTGTGTGTGTCCCGTTTCCCCTGCCTGCTCTGAGGACTAGGATGCCACTCAGAGCATGGAGTGAGAAGCCAGGGAGGTAAGGTGGCCAGTTCCCATCAAGAGGTTCAATGTTGGTGTCAGCAGGTGTCCTGTGGACTCCGCTCCCTGACTGAAGCAGGCCTCGGCACACCGAGGGTGACCTCTGGATGCCTCTTAACATTGCTAGCAACAGGGAACTCACCTGGCCGCCTGGTGCATTTCTGCCCAGCTCAAATTATTAAAAATGTGTTCCTCAGCTGGGTGTGATATGAACTCCTGCAGTCCCAGCCCTTGAGAGGTAGAGGCAGGAGGATCACAACTTTAAGACCAGCCTGGGCCACATATCAAGACCACGACTTAAAAAAATCAAACTAAAAGGGGTATTGGTTCCTTACACTGACAGCCTTAAAATGTCCAGTCTTGGGCCTCAACTCTGCCCAGTGAAGCCACCTAGAACAGGTATAAATGATAATGTCATCTGACAGCCTTTCAAATATTTGATATGATTGTGTATCTTCTAGGACTTCTTTCTTCTAGAACGACATGCTGGTCTGTTTGGTACCTTTACACGTAGTTGGTAATAATTCAAAGAAAAGGTTTAAATGACCTGACCCAAGAGGGAGTTTGCAGGTCCTTACCGATTCAGGAAAGCATTTCCAAAGCGACTAAGCTTTCGAAAAGGCTTTTTGGGGTCCACGACGAGAGCGTTCCCAGGGGTGCTACCCTCAGTCTCCCCATACATCACAGCGATGAAGGAATCAGTGGTGGGCTCCGGCCCAATCCTCATGCCTGGGAAATCTTGCTCCAGTAGGTATCTGGGAAAGAGAAAGATAAGAAAAGAACACTTAGTGCTATCACAGGCAAGGGGCCAGAAATCTGCCTGGGGCTCCCCAATCTGTGCACTGAGAAATGTAACCCCCAATATAAGGATAAAAGTCAGTATCTTACTCTTTGACTAATAAAGTTTATTCAAAGCTTGAAATCCACAGTCCTGTTTCCCCCTGGGTAAGGAGCCTGGTGAAAGGTCAGACTCCTTGCAGACTTAACTGGACTTTCTGGAAGGACCTCTGCTTAGCTCAGCAATTCTCTTTTTCTTGTGTGTGTGTGTGTGTGTGTGTGTGTGTGTGTGTGGCAGCATTGGGGTTTGAACTCAGGGCTTCATGCTTGCTAAGTAGGCACTCTACCAGTTGAGCCACTCTGCCAGCAGCCCAGCAATTCTCATTCAAGGGTCCACTGATGTGACAGAGACCACTTAAAAAGAAGCGTACCCTGCCACTCCTGAACATGCTGGACCACTGCTCAGGCCACTTCCCTCAGGGAAGCTTTCTGATCTGTGTGTGGGACACCTGTGTGGTCCCCAGGCCCTTTGGTCCTGTGGCCATCAAGGAGCTGCCCATAGCGCTGCAGGTACCCTGTGGGCCTGCAAGGTGACTTGAAGTGACTGAGCAGAGCTCTATTGTGACCCCACCAGGGGCTGACCCCTCCCCTAGGACAGATCCATGGGAGAAACCCATGTGACTTTTTACAGCTCCCACTCCTACAGCCAACAATCTATTTGGTGCTAAGTTTTTGTTTTTTTCCTAAAAGTCCTGCCTGGTCAAATGTCACCTGGGCCTATTTCCAGGGATAGAGGGAAAGACTGCTGAACATCAGTGTCAATCACAGTCTTGCCATCATCATGAGAAGAGGTGAAGCTACCCTTGAACCTCAGGCTTTCACTGTATTTGGAAATGGATGGTAATCTTAGCAGGTTATATTCCAAACTATCAATTGATACCATTGCTAGCTTTAACATCACTCAAAGTTTCTACATTTCTGTGAATAGAGGCATCATTTAGACATTCCCCTAAATTAATAGCAGTTGTGAAAAAAACCTGGTAATACTACCTGGCATTACTGAGAAGGTGCAAAGCCTTCTACATGCACTGTGGTTTCATTTAGTCTCTGCAATACTTCAGATGGGTGATAACATGGTCATCATTTTACAGGTGGGAAAACTGGCACCAGAGAGGCCAAGTAACTTGCCCAAGGCCACACAGTAAGTGAATGGAAAGAGAACACAGTCAGTTAGAATCCCAAATTTGTAATGTTTCCAGATATATTTAAATTTGGCTTTGAGCCAGTGGCTTGCTCAGAGATGAGCAGCTTCACAGACAGTGTGCCTCTGGGCCTATGGGTCTCCCATTTTCTCTAATGTAAGGGGAAAGGACCTCCAAACTGTCCTCCCCCATGGTCCTCTGGTCTCTGCAATGACAAAGGCCAGCTGTCTGCATCTCTCTAGAGAAAAGGTGGGGTGAAGAAGTGCCACTGTTTCAAAATATGTTCATGTTTAATTTTTAAAAATTAAAAAGTTTTACAAAACTTTCCAATCCAAACCTCAGGGCACCTAATAGCCTAGTAAATGTCCTCAGGAGCAGAAATACATTTGTCATCACTGTTTATGTCCTTCCATGGAAATTGCAGCAACACTGTAAGTGCTAGGGTCCCAAGTCTGAAGCCACTAGGCAGCAAGGCTAGACTTCAAAGACCGGCTACATGGCTCTTTTTTTTTTGTAGTACTGAGGTTTTAACTCAGGGCCTTCATCTTTTTGGGATGTGTTTTCTTTAGAGGTAGAGTCTCACAAATTATTTGCCGGGGCTGGCTTTGAACTGAGATCTCTCTGAGTAGACAGGACTACAGGCATGAGCCATTGGTGCCTGGCAAGGCTCTTGAAGTCAGGTCTGATTTTAGTGCCCTGAGTCCTAGATATGGGTAGGCTGGGAGGCCCGAGGGACACCGGGGTGGAGCTTGGAACAATAAGCCCAGCTCCCTAGGGACATAGAATTCCCAACTCACAAAAGGGAGTTGCTTTAAAACTTGGTAGGTGTTTCCCAGAGGATCAGTGTTAACAGCAGTGGGTGTCTAACTGGGACAGCCTACAGATATATGTGCCATATGTATTGAGAGCTGCACCAACAGCTTTTGTGGGAAGATCTCAGGATTGAGTTCCATGTTGGGTGGCTCGTTAGGATGTAGCCCCTTTTCTGCTCCTTTGCCAGGCTTGGGTAGGAGGACCCTCCAGGCTGCAGGCCGGGGGGAGGTAAGAATAAGCCTGGGGTGAAACTGGAGGGACCGTGGGATGTTACAGTTAGGCAGTCCCCAGATGGACGACTCATGTATAAGAGATGTTTAAGTCAGACGATCACTGCCAAGAAGTGCTGAATTACTTTCTGATGCTTCATTTACATAAAAGCACAGAAAATCCCATTAACGTTGGGTTAACAGAGATTTCAAGAAAATTTCAGCCAGATGTATTGGCTCAAGTCTGTAATCCCAGCTACTTGGGGGCCAGAGATCAGTGGGCTCACAGAGGTCAGCCTGAGGCAAAGACACGAGACTCTACCTGAAAAATAACTAAAGCAAAAATAGGCTAGGGTGTGCCTCAGGTGACAGAGCACCTGCCTAGTAAGTTTGATGTCCTGAGTTCAAACCCCAGTGCTGCCAAAACCCTCCCACAAAACAAAACAACACAAAAACTCTTTGATAATGAAACTGTTGAACGAACAGGTGTTTCCTACTTTTAAGTTTATACTATAATAGAAGCCATATTTCCTAAGTGGCACCCCTGCCAACAAAACTTTATTGACTGTTTATTTTTAAAGCAGACTTCACAAGATGCCTCTTAACCATAAGCTTGATAAATCATTTGATCTTTGGGTCCCAGACCAGAGGAAGAGCTAAGAACAAGGAAGAATTATTTCCCTATAAAGCTTACTACTTTGTTTGGTGATACCTTCTTCCACAGGTGATTAAAAAGTCAAAATTCAAGGTTCAATTTCATTATCAAAGTAATACCAATTAAAGATCTAGTATATTAGCAAATCTTAAAACCCCTCCTGATACTCAGTGCTGGCGAGGGTCCCATGAAACACTCCATTATCTAGCGTGGTGGGGCCACCTGGAACAACCTCACCGCCGAGGAATGTGACAGTGACCTCGTGAAGCAAGCATTTCTGATGGGGCACACTCATGCTTGTCCTCTCACAGCTACTACGTGGGTGACCTGGGGCCTGCTTTCTCTCATCTCCTGGATTGTCAGTCCTGGCATGGCATGGTCTATGCTCTCACAAGAACTAGACTCCAAAGTCTCCGAGAAATCGTCTGCCCAACTCCTTATCTTGACAGATGATGAGCGCAGGAAAGTGACTTGTCACTAGTCAAGTTCACTAGTCCCACACAGGACTTGGAGTGCTGCCCCCTCCCCTCTTCCTGGCTTTTGCTCTTACTCTAGGCTCAGTTCTGTGCATAACTTTGGGGACCCAGAATGCCCCAGCTCACTGGACTCTAAGTAGGAACTGTCACAAGAGTCAATACACACCCTGTGTCAAACTGAGAGCCCTGCTGAAATTCAGACATATGCCATGCTGCAGGGCAGGCAGGAACATGCCAATGCAGCGAAGGAATGAAGAACACCCAGGACACGAACTATCTGATGTGGAAAATGTGACATCGAAGTGAAGAGGTTCAAAAATGGCAGGGTCAGAGTGGATCCTGGGGTGTGACGTACAAGGCAGACTGGCTCCACAGCCATGCATGAGGCTTTCTCTGGACACCTCAGTTGCTTCCCAAAGCAGGAGGGTCAGGAACTCTGGGGTGTTGTCTGTGATAATGCGAGCTCAAAGGGACAAGAGGCCACTGGAAAACTACAGGACGTAATCCCCTGTGATGCAGAGCTGAGCAGCCCACTCCGCAGGCATCCTGTGCTCAGAGGCTCCACGTCCGCCCTCGGCACGGCCTCACTCCTTTCCTGTATTTTCAGAGGCTGCCAGAACTAGTGCTGATTGCTCTGGGGTCTCCGGCCAAGCCATCAACATGGATCCCAAGCAGCTGGGCAGAAGGGGGGGGGCGTGGACAAGAGAACTGATGTCTCCTTGTCCTGGTCTGATGAGGTCCCCAGGGACTCACCAAGTGGCTCCCAGGCACCCTGGCGGCTGGCACTCAGTCTGGGCTCAAGGAGCTGCTCTGGAGGACCGCATGGGGGAGGAGGGGACGGTCCAATGGAGGAGGGGAATATAATCAAAGCACATTACATGCATGTATGAAAATAGCTAACAAAAATCCCTGTGTACAAATAATATATACTAATTTTAAAAAAAGAGAAAGGGCTGGGGATCGCCCCAAGTGGTACAGTAAGCACGAGGCCCTAAGTTCAAGCCCCAGTACTGCCAGAGAAAGAGAGAGAGAGAAGCAGCTCTGATGCCAGGGTGTGTACGTGGACAGTGCCTTTTCTTTCATTGCTCAGACTGCAGAAAAATTTTAAACTTCAGAGAAAAAATATCACTTGTGACAAGGGGAATTAAAAATATCAAGACAAGGCAAGTACCATCTTCTCAAAGAATGACTTCCCCCCAATAAGAGTGATATTATTCAATCACAGGCCCCCATATTCCAGGTGTGAACTTTGTCCCTTGAGTATCTGTCACACATTCTGTCTGGGTGTTGACTGCTACACTTAAGCTTGAATAGTGGAAGAAGAATTACTCTGCTCAGTGATACCCTCCACCTGACTGGGGAGGGCTTGTTATGTACTAAAGCCTTCACGTGAGCGGTCTCATTTCACCCTAACTACCTATGAGTAGGTCCTATTCTTATCCCCATTATATAGATGAGGAAACTGAGGCTCAAACAGGTCAAGTAGCTTATTAAAAGGGAGGGTTTCTTACTAGTCCTGCGTTAAGTCCAAGATGGAGAGGCTGAGTCAGCCTCCAGTGGGAACATTTATACAGGAGCACGCTCCGTACATCACAACAGATGTACAAACCAAGAGTTTTTAAT